TACCCACCTGTAAAGGGCTTCTATAAGACCTTTCAGGCGGGCTCCAGCGGAACCCTGGCCTTTGGCATCCCTGTGTAAGCCCAAGTCCCCCTAAACCCTACACCTTTAAGCCCTAAACCCCTAAACTCCTAAAACCTAAACCCCTAAACCCCTAAACCCTAAGCTTGAAAGGCTTGCTTAGGGGCTCGACGGAAGTTTAGGGTTCGGGTTGTGCGGGCAGTAATATAGGGGCCTTAATAATTAGAATAGGGTTTGGGGTATCTTATACTATAATTATCATTAGTCGGAGCTTGCCCTTGAAAAGAAACCCCAACTTCGCAACAGGTGTATACTACAGATGCTATGCCTCCCTTGTTGCGCCGTAGACCCTAAGCCCTACATCCTAAACCCTAAACCATAAACTCTCAATCCTAAACCCTAAGCCCTACACTCTAAACCCTAAAACCGTATCTTAGTGGCTGAGTATGTAACCCTTAACCTTCTGGGGCTCTTATAATCCTACTATACTTCAAAAGGTTGACCTTTTTTGGGCTAGGGTACTCAGCCGCTAAGGTATTTCAAAAGTTGAACTCGCACCCTGCCTTCCAACTCATCAAGGGGGAAAATACCTATATACGCCCCTACGTCATGTAGACTAAGGTAGGAGAGCCCTATCAAGAAGCCCTGGCACATAAACGCCAGTATATTAGAGCTCATATGTGTAGTCCTCTAAATTAGGGGCCCTTGTTGGATCCCCAATATAGTAGGGTACCCTTATAAAAAGCACCCTAAAAGGGACCCTAACTTGGAGAGCTACCCATATAAAGAACCCGAGTAAAGACCCAGTAAGGGGCCCGAAAAAGAGGCTCTCTTCGACATCTTGTGCTGAGAGTCGTAGTATTGTGATCCTGAGCCTAGAAAGTTTAAGCTTTCTTTGGGCCGGGTTCTATCAAGAACGGAGAAGAAGTCCCGTATTACTATAGGGGCCTAAATAATTACCTATACTATTTTGGGGCGGTTCCTTATTATAGTTATAGCATAGTATTCCCCAAAACCCTATTCTAATTACAAAGGCCCCTACATTAGTCGAGCCGGGGTCCATCAGTTAGTGTTCTGCATTAAGGCCTTGCTGGGGGTTTTGAACCAGGGTGCGCTGGAGTGTTCTGACAGCACCGGCGAAAAGAGTGTGTGTATAGAGACTGCGACTCTGTGGAGTTCGAAGACAGTATAGGCGCACCTGTGTGGTAGTGTTGTTTGATTTTTGCTCCTTCTACATGCTATATGCACATGTATTCATATATACAAATACATGTATCTATGTATGTATGTACATATATATATATATACATATATATATATATATATTGAGCATAACTATATACATATGTATACATATTTAGTGTGTTATTTATTTCTGTATATATATATACACACATACACATATGAACATGTGTGTTCCCAAAGGTTTGCCACGACGTAGCTCTGGGACCACGATATCGGCTACGAGTTTTGTTGCGTGCGACGGGTGGATGGCAAGGTAGCTATGGTTGACAATCAATGCTTGCAATTGTTGCTTGTGCTTGCGTGTGCTCGGAAGGACTGTCTTGCAGCCTGAAGGTGTTTTTTAGGGATGACAGGTTTGGGCATACATTGTATCAAAGTAAGCACCCTTTTATTTTCTGGAGGGATAGTAGAATCTTGGTTTCCTCAGGAGATTGGAGAAGTAAGCCTACGTAGTGTTACAGGTGAAGGCTGCCACAGGGCGTATGTGGGATGATTCCCACCGATTTGCTCGAAGTTCCGGCAGCTCGGGCAAAACTTAGGGGCTGAGTAGGTAGCCTTGAACCTTTTGGGGCTTATAGGGCCCTACTATAATTCAACCCTAAACCCTAAACCCTAAACCCTAAACCCTAAACCCTAAACCCTACTATAATTCAAAAGGATAACCTTTTTCGGGCTGGGGTACTCAGCCCCTAAGAAAAAGTCAGGA